GGGATATTGTTGTTTTTGAATTCAGTTTTCCGATTAAGAGCTGATTCAAATATGAAATGTGGTGAGTTTGCTGTTTTCCAGTAAATCAACTCTTATACTTTGTTACTAGTGATTTATATCTCCTTTGAGCTCTATTGTGTTGTTAATCATGTGGGGGTGGGGGAGGGCAGTTCTGGGGAAGACTCTAACTGAAGTGGGAGATCACATACTTTGCTTATAAACATGGGTATAAAATTGTATTTGTTTTTTAAAAATATTTTGAAGCACAGTAATAAATTAAGAAAACACAAAGTAAATCCTCTGAAATAAATTTTCAGATAGTTAACATAGTAGCATACAGAGAAAGGGATAGCTTAATACTGTTCAAAATGTTCAAATATTACCTTAAACATAATAGTTACACTTTATGTTGTACGTGTACAGTGAATATACATTCCGTTTATGTGAAAATGCTATTATTAATTCCATAGAATTGAAAGTTGGTGTTGAAACTTCTTTTTCACCGTGTAAGGTGTATGGATTTATTGCAGCTTAGCCTTTATTATTCCAATAAGAAATAAAAAGACTCAGTTTCTATGAGTTGTATCTAAGGTTTGTCCTATGGTTTACAACTCATGGTTTGTTGGGAAGAGCCAAACCATAATGACAGATGACACACTAAGCCCAACAACAGAGCACGGCAGCAGTACAACTGGGAAAAGCAAAGCTTTCAAGGAGCCTGCACACTCTTGCATTCATGCTAAACCATGGTTTGACTTAGTGCGGCTTGTGAACCAGGTTGTGGAAAGGGGGCACACAAAGGTCTAAATATAATATGATAAAACAAATTTTCCAGATGTGGATGAAATCCCAATGGAGGCTGCTGGGTGACCAGTGTGGTGTAGTGGTTAAGAGCGTTAGATTCATAATCTGGTGAACCGGGTTTGCGTCTCCGCTCCTCCACATGCAGCTGCTGGGTGACCTTGGGCTAGTCACACTTCTCTGAAGTCTCTCAGCCTCACTCACCTCACAGAGTGTTTGTTGTGGGGGAGGAAGGGAAAGGAGAATGTTAGCCACTTTGAGACTCCTTCGGGTAGTGATAAAGCGGGATATCAAATCCAAACTCTTCTTCTTCTTCTAGGACAAATGGGGCACTGCCTCACCAAGCTCAGTCTCCACTCAGCTAGCTCCCCACCAGCTTGTCTTCTTACTTACTACTAGTCCAGGTGTGTCACTGGCTATCTGCTTTCTCTTCCTAAGTCTCACTGTGGTCCGTAAAGAGCTCAGGAGGGTGAAGGCTACAGATAAAACGGGAGTTATTTGCCCAGCTTTATTTACTGCTGGTCTTCTGGTCTTCCACCCTACCAGGCCCAATGGGCTCCAGCCACCTCTGTGACACGGACAGGTAGCAACTGCTGTCTGATGCTGAAGTAATCCTAGCAAAGGGTTAATTTGGGCAGCTTCACAAACAGGGTGAGTTTATGTGTTAATGGCTCTTCCCTTTGCCAGAGATCTTATTTTGAAAAAAAGAAAAGAAAAGAAGAAAGTCTTCCAAGATCTAATGTAACATCTATTTTCTAGGAAGAAAACAGGTTAATAAATAATATTGTCTGAGGTTTATTGGCCTTTTTTGTCATTCATCCCCAGTGGGAATTACAGCAAGGAACCGTTGCCCTTGTTAACCTGCAAACATTTTTCACTCAGTTAGATCATTGACTCTGACTCCAGGGTCCAATTTTCTTTTTATTCATTAAGCACATTGGGAAGTGGAGTTCCTAACCCTTTCCAGTCTAAATGTGGAACAATCACATCCCCTCACAATCAAACGCCAATGTGCTGGGACCTCCACATTTCAGTGCAATCTCTCAGTGACGCAAGTTTTTAACAATTGAAGGATATTAAGTCAAAAAGTTGTTTTCTAATTGGAGGCGCTCAGGGGAATTCAAAAACACACTGGAAGTTGGTACATGTGCCTTTCCAATTATCTTTGCTGAAATCAGGGGAGAGGGCATCATAAATCTCAGGCAGCAGCTTCCAGAAGCTGAGTTTGGGAATTAAAGCCTGTTAGGATAACACATCTGATGACCACAAGTATTACTGCTTTAGAGAGCTGACACGACATGGTGGAATATGTCGTTTCCGTGGGTGGTGTAATATTGACATTGCAATTCCACTTTAGGATAAAAGAAAAATAGACGCCGTACAGAAAGTCAAAGGTGTTGACATGCACAGAGGGTGGCAAGGGCCCTCAGTTTTAGCCAAATTCCCCTTTCATGTTGCAGTCCTCTACAGTCTATGCCATTCTGGAAGGTTTCCCAACCCGTTTTTTGAGAGTGCAGATGGGTTGCAGGAGGAGAGAAGAAATTGAAAAGCCCCGTTTCGTGTGCAGAAGACCATTGGTTGTACTTGGGATTCTATCTGACATGTCTGGTTGTGTTTCTGTTTCATATCATGTGTATTACATCAACTTCAAACTCCTCTCTTAAGCGCAATAACTGGTGCCTACAAATATGTCAGATTAAACGTGTGCTGTAATAGCCAAGTCAACTCCTGATCATAGCTCGAACCTGCATATATAGGGAAATTTATTTGGGACTATTGAAAGAATTGAGCTACAGTCCCAAGTTACCCAACCGTCATCATCCAATGCAGTTTAAAATGACACTCCCCACTTTGAGTATGCCCAACAAAGTCATGGACCTTAATAGAAGGCCCCAGGGGAAAGAGAAAAAGGAAGTGGAACTTAATAAAGTTCCCAGGCCCTCATGGGAGCATCAAGGTTTGACTCATTTGGGATGTGAACCAATAAACAAGCTTCAAGATGATAACACTCACATGCTGCCAGATCTATTCATGTGTCCACACAGACATACATGTGACCCTGTACCTTACATGTATGTACACAGAATAATTACTTTGAGAACCTCCACTTATATGCCACAAATATGTGATGGGCTCAATTGCTCTGTGCACACCAATATTGACTTCTTGGGGGGGAAATTAGCAAAACCATTAAACGCCAATCTAAATGAATATCAATGTTAATTTAGAACAAAATGGCAGCCAACAAGTGAAATGGCTTTGTGGCTTCAAGTGCCATACAAAAACATAAAAGGTCAAGATGGTTAGCTGTTGCAAACTATCCAAACCCACATTCTCTGGAACATAAACCTCATATCACAGAGGCAGAGGTGGGGAGAGATGTTGTCTTATATGGAGTCAAGAGGGCCATTTTAAGTTCAGTTCTTTTTAAAAAAATATTTTTATTAAAGATTTTATTGGTTTACAAAAGTACCTGCATTGTTCATAAACCTTCCCCAATGACAACAGGGTCTAAATTCAACTATATCACAAAATTAAAATAAACTGGCCTGTTTAGAGGCAAAAATATGAAGAAGGTTTTAAGTCCGGCCACATAAAAGCATAGCCTTGATTTATGAACTGGAAAAAATAATATGCCAGTCTGTGATATGCCTTTTTATACATAAGAATTTGCAGAGTGTTGTGGTTGCATTTTAAAAAGGAGCTCGCCCTTCACACATACACAACATTCCTGCAAGGGTAAGAAGCAAGGGTTTGTTTGTTTGTTTACAGAAGAGAGAGCCAAATAAAGGTGAGATTCTCATGACTTCCGCAATGGTAATTTTAAGAAAATCCCTAATAATGAGAAACATGGTGAAGTGGCCGAAACTGGTTATCATTGCTGCTATCTGACATGACATCATGGTGTGAGAGGCTTTGACTCTCAGTTGAGACATCAATTAGGCTGGGACAAAACTGTCAATTCCAGTTTTTCCTCAATTCCTTGTTGCTTGTATATAGAGTCTGAATGAAAATTCATCATGAATTTAGTGCAAATTTCTTCTGAAATATATTTTGTTTGCAATTTGCCTGGTAGTCACATTTCCGCAAACAATTTCCCTTAACACAACACATTTTTATGTTACTTTTACTAATATTTGTGCTTTTATGCATTGCAAAATTCAGTGAAGTGCTTTGCTTCACAACTTGTTTCAGCAACTGTGAATTAGGCAGGCTCACTTTAAAACCCTAAATAAACCAAATTTCTCTTCCACCTCTCGTGCGACTCGAACATACTCAGAACAGTGCTCTCTCCTTCCTATTTTCCATCACACAAGACTGTCCCAAATCCCAGCTCAGGGCCCCTGCAGTAGCTATATATTTGTAGCCTGCCAGAGACAACCGTGTTGGAAGGTAGTGAAAAGCAAAGAAATTAGATCACAAGGTCCGAAGTGGAAGCCCAGAGTACAGTGTCATCGATGTGCTCCACATAGTCCCTAACACCTCATAACTTCAGTGAGTAAACCATGTGGTACAATACATCTCTGTCCAGGTGTCTCCCTCGTCCAATGTCAATATCCTCATAAACTTCATGGCCAAGAACATTTTTCATTGTCTTGGTTTCATGTTTTCAGTCCAAACCCTTAAGAACTTTTTTTAAAAAAATAAAAGCATGCATTTGAATAACTACATTTCTGTAACTGTGTTGGTGCTTTTTTTAAAAAAAAAAACTCACTATAAATAAAGAGTGACATTTACATATATTGGGAATGGCAAAGAAAAGTCCAGCTATACCACAACTCTTTACAGGCAGATTGACTCACGACTGTTACCTACTGATGCCAGAAATACTTCATGATGGAGTATTGTTCCCGCATTGACCAAGTTTTGTTTGTTTGTTTGTTTGTTTATTACAATAGCTTTGTTTTGAGGGGGGAGCCTTCAGCCACTTCATCCTTAATGGTAAGCCCCCTCCACCAAAATTATTAGAATTTACTCTTCCACATGTCACCAACAATCCCCTCACTTTCATACGGCACACACATAGTCACACACATGTGTACATGGGAAAGGATGCCTCCTACAGCCCAGCTCTAGAGTAAGTCAAATTTATATAATCAGCTTCATAAGTTGAAAAGCCTGGGAGACATAAGGTGTTGTTGAGCGATTCATGCTTTATTGAAATGCTGGCACATTATATCTTGCTGATTTGAGAGTTTCCCACTACCTACCCCCACCCCCTTTTCAGCTATACCCCTATGCCCTTGGTCAGGGGTAGTCAATGAGGCACTTTCCAGATATTGTAGGACTACAACTCCCATCATTCCACACATGACCAATGATCGGGGATGATGGGGTATCTTTGTTTGTTTGTTGTTTTGTTTGATTTCATTGTGCATTTGGTCCAATTCCCCTCCCCTCCATAGCATTAAATGTTCATCTTTACATGTATCTATAATAAAACTATAGATTTTTTTTTTTTTAAGGATCTATGAGCTTCAAGGTTTTACAGAACGTTCATGACTGTTGAGTCTCTAACATGTTCAGGAAATGTTAAAGTAACTCACACCATTGTCTGGAGAGAGAATGTCCTGCCTCACCCCGACCATTGACAAAAACAACAACTCCTGTTCTTGCTTCTTGCTTTGTTGGTGGGACTGCTGCTGTCCAATCACAGCTGTTTTAAAACCCCAGATTCTGATATTATTTCACATGGATGGTTTTAATTTCTGTCCTGGAAAGGGAAAAAAAAAGCAATTTAAGGGAACCAGAAGTTGGGCCGATTCTGTGAGATTAGCATATGTCTATGGTTGACAGCAGTTGAAACAGAGAATGTTAGCATACTCCTCAACTGCTCCGTTTTAAGCAGGGCATCCTGGAATCACAGATGGCAATCCTGGCTTCTGATTGGATCCTAGAATGTTCTGTTTTGGTTCTGTGTTCTGGCACGAGACGCCGGCCCAAAAGATGCTCACTCTGGCATGAGTCATCTGGGTCACACCAGAACAAAAGCTGCTCGGTTTTTGGTCTTGCGAGACCAAGAAAAAAGCGTCTTTGGGTCTTGTGCTCTTACGCAAGTGCAAGAGTTCAGGACCAAAATAGGAGCATCCTGACTTTGGTCCCAGGAATGTTGGGGTGTGTGTGTTATGTGTTAGGGTATCCGTTGAGAAAGAGAAAAGGAGGCAAGAATGAAAGGCAGGCCAAGAGAGCAAATTGGCTTACTAAAGCCACTAGCAGCCCATAATAAGCATCCTGGATGGGGCTCATTAGGGGTGGGAGGATGAATTCATGTTGTGAGGTTAACAAACTCCTTTCCCTGCACCATTCAGGAGGAAGGAAAGGAAAAAGCACCCCTTTCCCCTTTCCATTTATGTAGAACCACCACCACCAACCTTCCATAGTAATAAATTGCTAAGATTTTGGCAGCCCGGCAGTCAATCTCAGGCCCAAGGCCTCTGTCGCAGTAGAGGAAGGTACCAGGGGAGGGAGGGACGGAGGAAATCTTCTTTCTCACCTTCTTCTTGTCTCCTCCACCCTGAGAGGTTTGAATACAGGATTCCTGTTTCAGGCTGGCTGGAGCATTGAACAGAAGCATTTGTTTAATGGGACACAAACACTGTAACATATTGCAGTGTATTTTCAAGGATAATCATATTATTATCTCACCCTCCATCCAATGAGCTCACCATGGCATTCACGTGGTTATCCCATTTTATTCTTTCCCTCTCTCTCTCTCTCTCTCTCTCGGATGTGGTATTTGCTGAAAGGTAGTAACTGGGCTTGGAACACTGTGTAAGATTCATGGTTGAGTGGGAATTTCAACCCATGTTTCTCTGATCCAACATTCAGGGCTAACCCAAGATATTTTGCTGCCTGAGGCACAATAGCAAGTCTCTCTAGCTCCTCCGCCTATCCTTGGCAGTAAAAATGCAATGGTAATGAATTAAATAACTGACCGTTTGCTTAACTTTGGTGACACCCAAAATCAGCTGCTTAATGGTAGAGATGGTCTCGCCAACATTCTTACCACTACGCCATATTGGCCTTGTTTTTTTTTAGGTATACTATGTAACTTTGGGAAATTGCCTTTCCCCCGTTAATTAAACATACACACCCTGAATGAGAAAACCTACTATTTTGTAAAAAGTTGCCTTTTGTATAATGTTTTCATGCTACTGATCTAGTTTCAATAAAAATATTGGGGCATCTGTTTTTGCATATTCAAAAAAAAAAAAGTCAGAGAAGGAAATGGAAACAGATATGTCCAAAATAAAGCTAGTCAACTGAAAATAAAAGAAATCCAGTATGGACTTAGATGGTTTCAAATGGAAATAAAGAGGATTAATGGAAGAAAGTGTGTTAGTCAACAACCTCTTCATGACCTTCTGGCCACATAAAGTGGGGAGGAGGTGATGGACCCTTTAGTCAGGCAGGAAGTTAAGCAGTACAGATCATTCTTAAAAATGCACACAAATGCAATATTTGAATGACTGTAGTGGAAGAGAGAGAAATCTCTGAAGACCAGCAGGAGGAAAGAAAATGCATCATATTTTCCTGGCTCACCAATCTTATTAGAGGAAGTAAGGAGAACCCAGACCCATTGCCAGATCACTAGGATTCACTTAGCATGCCAGAATATTTCAAACTGAACTAAAGAGACTGAGAGTGGAAACTACTTCTTGCCTAATAATCTATTAATTATTGGTTGCAAGGAAGCAGAAATAAACAACTGAGTAGATGAAGGACTGTATTTTTAAATAGAGAAAGCATTTCTCAGCCAGTGAGAAACAGGGATGCTGGGAAAGTGACCTTTTGTAAGACTGCAGAAACACCTAACAAGACATGGACACTATCTGTCTGCCCTTTCCACACATAACAAAATGTGATTGCTAGTGTTTCACCCCCAGAAAATAACTAGTTCTTATGCTTCTTCCCAGTCTCAGGACAGCATCCCACTTTCTGTTTACGGAATTCCAAAACAATATGGGATATCCTTGCACCACTCTCTTGGATAGTCAGGAATTACTTAGAAATACCTCAGCTGGGTGGCCATGTGTCCAACTTTACAGAAGCCAGTTCTCCATCTGAAGGAGTCCTCTGTATGCAGGGCTGTCCAGTTTAAAGATGCAGAACCTTAAGAAGGAAAAGCAAGCTTTGATGTTGCCCATCCAAAGTTGGCTTAGCACATGACGACAACAGACTGAGCCAACAGATCAACTTGTTACAGTTTTTCCACTAGTCTGAGAAATGCTGCACTTCTGTTTAAATTATATTAATTACTTATAAAGTCGCAGCTGTGCAAATAAATTTGCATATGCATATTTAAATGCAAATTCGTATCCTCAGCTGCCACCTCAACCTCCTACCTGGAACACTAACTGCCCTGATGAAAGATCTCTATTTTGGGAAAGGTCCTGCTTCTCAAGATGTCCTTCCTGTATATTATTTCATTCTTTCATGTTTATTGGCAACAGAACAATATGGAGTTCATTTTGATCACTCTCAGGCAAAAAGATAAACAAATATGAGTTGTTTCTAATGTGTCAGAAGTTGCCGTCTTGCATGGACTTTTTCCATAAATTTGTGTGGCTTCATACTAGCAACACAACCTTGACTGTAGCGCCCAAGAAAAGCTAAATATGATACCTGATTCTGAAATATATACATGCAATATATACATTGGGTTTGTGTGTAACAAAATGCTATAGAGTGCATATATACCTCTTAAGGATACCCAGTAATTGCACTGAAGACAATTAAATCATACCAGTGTAAGTGCCAATCTAGTGAGACTCTGTTTTCAACAACGTCTAGCTGGTATTCTGAAGACATGGAATTTGGAATCTAGTCAACAGAACAGATGTTGGGGAAACGCCCTTGGTGACAATTTGTATGTTATGGCGGCACTCATATGGAATCAGCCAAGTAGTTTTTTCTGAATGACAGCACTTCACACGGCAGGACAAAACATCTGTGCTGGGCTTAGTATGTGAGGCAGCCCAAGTTACATGGCTTCTCTGTAACAGACCTGCAGATCCCTGGTAGCAGTAACTAGTGCTGGCATAAATATGTTCCCTGCCATTGCCAGAACCACAGTCTGGTCACCCAAGGAACACTAGGCACATAGAAACACTTCTAGTGGGGTCAGTAATGTATGATGCAGCCCCTGTTATGAACCAAAATCTTCCCAGAACACTTTGTCAAAGCACTAGTTGGAGTAGTTATGAGAACAATGTCAAGAATTGAAGAGATCATTAGGCACATGAGCGTTGTGCTTCCTTTGACTTCAGGGTAGGTAAACATCTAGAAAATGAACCATTATATGGAACCAGAAAAGTCATGCCTCTTGCATCATTACCCCCAGGCATATTATCGTATTAATTCCTTCAGAAGAGCTGCTGTCAAGCAGTTGGCTCCACTGCACAAATGGCACGAGCTATGAAAGACACATGAAATCAAGCCTAACATAGCATTTAAGGGAAACAGGCTGTCCACAGAATCGACTTTGAGGCTTGTGGTGATGATTGAGAAGTACATGCAATTTTGAGGACCCCTGACTAGTGAGACAGAAAGGGTTTTCTCCTCCGGACAAATAAATTCCACTCGTGTTATTAACATTATTAATTCACTCTGGCGCATCATGCGTGCCAAATGTGTTGATCAATCTTGTTTCTTCGGCAGTTCAATTGTAAACAGTAATAACTGCCAGGTTTGAAATGCTAAAGGAAAGCAGTTGTTATGAGACTAGAAAATAGAAGCAACCCATATTATCAGACCACCAAAAATGCTACGAAGTTTGGCACAATTCTAAAAGTCTTTGTTCTACCAAACCCAAGTCCAGACCACACACACACACGGCTTCAATTAAAGCATATTTCATTCTCCAGTAAAGCAAGGATGATTTAAATAATCCACAAAAGAATAATCCTGAATCATACTTGGAAGGGCAAATTAGGAAAGCTTTGGGGTAACACCCAACTTAATGACTGATCAAACAAGTGGCAAAGCCTCATTTTAGAAACCCCTCCAGGTTTATCACCTTTGTGTGTACATTGTTTATTATGACTAGAGTGCAAGGAATATTCTAATGCATTAATAATAATAATAATAATAATTTTATTTATACCCCACCCTCCCCAGCCAAGGCCGGGCCCCAGCCAAGCGGCTTACAAGCAATAATAAAAACAAGTTGAATGATTACAACTTAAAAACAAAATTAAAATACAGCATTAAAATATTGAAACATTAAAATGTTAAAATGTAGTCTCATCGCAGGAGGAGAAGGAAAAGAAAAAAGAAAGAGAGGGAGGGAATCAAATTGGCTCCAAGCCAAAGGCCAGGCGAAACAACTCTGTCTTACAGGCCCTGCGGAAAGAAATCAGATCCTGCAGGGCCCTGGTCTCATGAGACAGAGCGTTCCACCAGGCCGGAGCCAGTGTTGAAAAGGCCCTGGCTCTGGTTGAAGCCAATCTAACTTCCTTAGGGCCCGGGACCACTAGGGTGTTGCTATTTATGGACCTTGAGGCTCTCTGTGGGGCATACCGGGAGAGGCGGTCCCGTAGGTACGAGGGTCCTAGGCCGTGAAGGGCTTTAAAGGTCAAAAGCAGCACCTTAAATCTGACCCTGTACTCCACCGGGAGCCAGTGCAGCTGGAAAAGCACTGGGTGAATATGCTCCCATGGCAGAGACCCCGTGAGGAGCCAGGCTGCAGCATTCTGCACCCGCTGGAGTTTCTGGGACAGCTTCAAGGGCAGCCCCGCGTAGAGCAAATTACAGTAGTCAAGCCTGGAGATGACCATCGCATGGATCACTGTGGCCAGGTCGGGGCGGGAACGGTACATTACACTTGGAAAGCTTTGCTGTGCCATCTTAATCTGAAATTTCATGACCATATCTGAAACCAAAGCCTGCAATTCAGCCTTACATATTGTTTCCCTTCATCTCTTTATCCTTTTAACTTGTTTCTATTTATTTACTGATGGCTCCTAATTCATCTCTTGGGCAGGCTGGTCTTGTTATACTGGCAGGTCTGACGCTGAGACTAACATGAGTATAGACTCGGCACTGTGAAAAAAAAGGCCAAAGGCCAGGCAGACCTGCCATTTATCCCGGCTCTGAGCGCGGGGCCAAGCACTGCCATTGGGCAGTGGGTCCCGTGCCCAGGTGAATGCCCTCCAATTTGATGGCAGGGAGACAATCTGACCTGCCATTTACCGGCTCACAGGGAGGCCCGGGGCAGGGGTGGGGTGAGCTGTCCATGGGGGTGCCGCAGCGATGAGTCAAGCCCCATGCTGCCGTTTCGAGCATCGCAGGGCCCCGAGCCACTGCGTCACTCCTCAGGGATGACACCCGGGGTGGCCCGCACCCCCCTTCCTATGCCCCTGATCCAGGGCCCACCGGCAAAACTGCCCACCCAAGAAGGGGCAAATGGACTTCTAGAAAAAGGTTCTCATAGAATGGCAAAGGCACCTGGAACTCACCAGAAAGGTTCCGGGACCCACCTGAGAGTTATCTGAACTAAGTTCCAGTGAGTTCCCCCTGGGGGGAAAAAACCCTGCATGAGTGTAACCTAGTTTCTGTACACATTAGCGGCTTAAAATGTAGCAAGGTTGTTTATAGCTGCTGCATTTCAAGTCACAGCAGAACAACAATCATCTGCATTTTACTGTGAATTTCTCCTAATCTGCGTATTTTTGCCTGCAGTTTAACTACAAATTTTTGCAAGCAATTTTCTCCAGTATAATGGATTCTTTATGTCATTTTCACTAATGAATTGAGTTGTTAGGATACTCCATTCCCCTCACGGAGGTACAATTCCTAGGGCACTTTCATTCCTAGGGTTCCCTCTTCCCAGGGAACTTTGGGAAATGGAGTTCTGTGAGGGCAGCAGGAGTTTCCTAACCACTCTCAGGGCCCTTAGCAAACTACAGTTCCCAAGATTTTTTGGGGGGAAGTCATGGTTGTTCAAAATTATATGGTACTGCTTTAAATGCATTGTGCGGATGGGGGCCAATTCTCTGAGAGACATCTGAGTCTTATCTCGCTCTGCTAGAGATGTTTATACATTTGATCATGGGAGACTTGGACACTGGACAAGGAACACGATAAATTTTGTTAATCAAACTGGGTATCAAGAGGAGGCCTGTCATCGTTGCTGCTTTCCCTTTAAGAAAAGCAAATGCAGAGCATCAGAAAGCCGTCCCCCCCCCCAAGTCATTAAACATTCTCTGGCTTTTGTCAACAGCCGGGTAAACATCCAGAAAAAAAGGGAATCTGAATCAAATAGTTTATTTAACATTCTTCTTCTCCAACTGCTGATTAGGATAAATAGTTTGGTTGGGGTTTTTTTTTTAACTATCTGCTCCAACAATCACACACAAGGGGAAAGGGAGGGAAGCTTTCAGCTATCAGCTGAGTTTAGACTGGGCTTCAAAAGTTTTTAAACAAGGAAAGATTCTGGGCACTCTTTGATATTTTTGTCTATCCGCAGCACGTCGTGTTAGCACCATGTCATAGCAAAATGGGAACATTTTTTTAAGAAAAAAGAAAGAAAGATCATTAGACAGTGGACTGTCTATAGGCTGCAATTCCAGACACAATGCAACACTTGGAAAGAATCCAGAACAGAGAGCAATTTGAACAGCCTATATATACCGAAGTGGGGGTTTCATCTGGCAAAAGACCTTTATGGGCAAAACACCTGAGGAACTTCTGTATTCTATCAGACCAGTGAGGAATCTAATCCAGTAATCCTCGACAGGGGGTTAATTGCAGCCTCCCCAAGAATTCAGGGACAGCCTTGTCCAGAAGTCATGGGTATTGTGTGTGTATACACACACACACACACAGAGAGAGAGAGAGAGAGAGAGAGATGTGGCTTTTCCAGATGAACTGTTTAATAAGGACCCAGCTGCAGCTGGTTGCAGAAAGATCAGATAATGTCAGCTATTTAATAAGCATTCATCCTGATTTGTTTGTTGGGAGAATAGACAACGTTCCATCAAGAAAGTGTTAAACCACAGCATTCTGTTCATTTCCCCATCACTTAACTTATCTCAAAAAACAAACCTTTAGGAAATGCATTTGTTTCACAAAAGCTCCATTATAGTTTTAATTATGCAGCCTGAATGTGCTGGGTTGTGACTGAATTCCACCTGAAAATGCTGACAATCTGGAAGTACCCTCACACCCAAGCTGGTGAAAAAAAAGAAAGCGAAAGGTGTTAGTGTTAATTATTTCAGCTTGCAAAAGGCGGGGGGAACCTTATCTAAAAACACCATAATGATTCATTACTTTAGCACAACCACAATCTATTATGTTACAGAGCATTCCTATGCATGTTTACTTGAAAGTTAGTCTCAAATAACTCAACGAGTTTTACTCCTAAATTAGTGCACACAGGATTGCAGTCTTAGTACCAGATAAATCCAGCCTAGCTAATCAGGGATCACAGAGTGAATAGGATTATATCACAATGTTATATAGTAGGGGTTGAGAACTGGATCTGGCCAACTGGATCCTATTTGTTGGCTTGGTTGTAACTAGCCTTGGGTTGCCCTGGGCATGATAAAGGAACTAACAAATTCAGTAAATAGCAACAATAGCAACAGACAGATCATTATCTCCTCCACACCCTGTGGACCAGGTTTGGCAGGTGCGTGGGGCACCGACCTATCAATCTTCTCACCTCACAGGTTTTTGCCCACACAATTTGAAGCCAAAATGTGCAGACAAATTCACAGTCTGCACAGCATCAAAAATCAGCTGATCCTTAGGACCTGTGGAGAATCTTGCACCTGGCTTTACAAGCTCCAGTAACTGGAGCTGAACAATCGAAGTTGCAGAGGCCATCAATCAGCTGATTGACAGTGTCTGCAAGTGCCCTTTCCGCTGAGACAGGTCTTTGCCTGCCTTGCAGGACAGGTGTGTGTGGCTTGGCTGAAATGGCCTTGTAGGCCCAATGGGGAGGCCTGGTGGGCCTGATTCAGCCACTGAACTGGAGGTTCCCCACCACAGCTATCTAGTATATAGACACAGTGGCTTGGCAATGTGGTGCAGAACTGAGGTCAACTAAATGCTGTGTAAAGGAACAAGTCAACATTTTCAGGAGTGGACAAAAAAGGGCCCAAAGGAGTCATGTGTGTGGTTTTTGTTTTTTGTTTTTTTGCACTGCTGAAAATGCCAGAGGGAAGCTTGTTTTTGCTGAGCCATGCTCATTACTCCAGCAGAAATCCATTTATTAAAGAGTTCTTAGGTTACTGCACTAAAAGAATATATAGAGTACTTTCTCTATATTTATATAGAGTATTTTCTCTACATAGTGCCTTTAATTTTGAGGATTTAAGCAACACATTTGTACCCTGCCTTGATAACCCATCCTTCTTGTTAATTGACAGTCTGAATCGATAGGCTTTCTTTTCTTGATGGTACTGAAAATAGATGAAGCGTTTGCATTCTGGCCTCTGTATGCTCTTGAATCCCTGTGTGGTCTTGGACAAATTACTCAGTATCACTTGGCATGGATTTCCGTTCTATAAAAATGGAAGGATATTGACCTCGTTTAGTAAAGGGGTACAAGATGTTAAGCAGGTCTCAGTCCACAAGGACTTTCTCCCCATTGGTGTGTTCTGCACTACATTACATGTGGCATTAATGTTGTTTGGAAGTTGGAGATCGTTTCTTCATCCATGTGGAAACCACATTTGTCTACGCAACAAAGTTATTTTTAAGTGCAAATATGCCTATACAGTTTATGTGTGTGTGGAATACAGAACATATGGAAAATAGGTGAACAACACATTCTGAAGTCACGTTACTACAAATTTGAGGGCCTTTATGTTTAATATTTTCTTGCCGACAGAACTGAAAATGTTGACGTGCGGAAAAGTCCCTGACTTGGGTTTTATTTAATGCTGGTGGTGTGCTCTGGAGTTAACTTTTCCCAAAGGTATGCAAAGATGGCTCCCTGTGTCCCCCACGTTGCATGGCTCTCTGGTGCACGCAGTGTTTCCACACAGTATTGGAAACTCAATCCCCCGGAGATTTTGTGATGACATGGAAACCTAGGGGCAAACAGCAATGCTATCAAGGCTGCAGGAAAGCTATTCCTCTGCAGCAAGAGCAGAGAAAACATGGCGAAGTCCTTTTTAATGAGTTTGTTCAATCATAATAGTGAGAGGCAAAAGAACGCAGCAAGTCTTAACAATGGCGTTACTCCAAACTTGGCTCCTCCTCCCTCCATCCTAGCAACAGCATCTTCCCTTACGGTGGCCTGCACTCTTAACAAACACTGAGTTCTGGGAGAAGGGGGATCAGAAATACTGATCTGGCTGCCCTGCTGCAGCCCCCCCTAACGTTTTCCAACCCTTCTATCTATCACAACTGTTCATCTGTCTCTGAGTTGTGACTTTCCTCAAACCCCTCAAAGCCCTGCTGTAATTCAATGCTTCATCCCTCTTCTCTTGCAGCATCAGGAGAAGGGTGTGTGTGTGTGATCTCCACCATTCCTCTTCCTCCATCTCACCCTCTCGAGTCCAATCCCTGACAAATGTGCAGACAGGTTTCCTCTAGTCAGACTTCAACATGCAGCATGTGGGAGTTAGGGCTGAGGTGCTGCATAATGTCAGGGGCAGCAATGTAGTCCTGATGCCCATCCTGCACGTGGAAGGGCTACAGCCACGAAGGGGGAAAAGGTGAGGGAGGAATGTCATATCACCGTATCCACTGACTCCAATTGGAGAGTTTTAATTCTGCCACATTGGGAGTGGGGCCAATTTCTGAGCAAGCATTGGAGTCTGATTAAGTGCTGTTCCTTCCCAAATATACCCATCCCACACCTCCCTTTAGAGTGGTTGTGTACCAGCATAATTACACCAGAGAAACTGCGTGGCAAAAATGTTATAGTGGGAAAATGGTACTTAAGTAGTAAAGCACATGGAGTGCATGCAAAAGATCCTGGATTCAGCCCCTGGGATCTTCAGGAAGAGCTGGGGGAAACTCTTATCTGAGACCCTGGAGAGCTGCAGCCAGTCAGCATAGACAGTAATGAACTAGATTAGGGATAGGGATGTTAAAAGGCAGAAATTTCCATTCTGACCTGTGTTCATCACAATCAGTGCTGTTTCCAGTCTGCTGCAATTAGGTTTCTGCCAACTGCTATGTTGCATGTAACATAAGTTATATAAGTTATATAATTATTTACATAACTTACCTTAATTTAAATGCAAAGGAAATGCCAAAACAATGTAAAAAAGTAATTAATTGCATATTGTTGACAAGCTTAAAAAAACAACAACGATGTAAATGAATATCGATTGTACGTGCTTCGCTGATTTCCATTCCTCACCACAGACGAACCAGCAAACTGCTGAAATTTCTGCTTCCTTTTCCGTTTTTGTTGGTGGTGCTCTCCAGGCTTCGGCCCCCATCACCCCAGACAATTGCCATGAGCTGGCTTAACAATGGGCATCATGTGTGTTCTATGTTTATTTTAATGAACTGAATAAAGTGAAAGATTATGAGTCACGGAGGCATGGAGAGTGCTCAGATTTTTTTTTTTAAGCTGCTCTTTTCTCCATGTTGTTAATAATTGTTTTATAGCTTCTAAATGCCTTATTGATTTGTTTATCATATAATAGGATGCTTAGCTTATTTTTTAGTTGCTGTTTTGTTAATAGTGTTTTAACGATTGTAAATGCTTTATTGATGATTTGTTAATTATTTTATATGATTCGTGCTGTATTTGTGATGCTAATGTTCTCAATTGATTGTAAGCTGCTATGAGATCCGACTGAATGAAAATCGGCACAGAAATACAATAAATCAAATCAATTATAGTAGCATCTAGAGGGCACCAGTCTGGATACGCCTTCAGCTAATCGGCTTGGTGTGAGGCAGCTCTTCATGCTCCTTTTGTGCTCCTCTGGTGCAGGGGAATTTTGGAGTGATCCCGTCCTCATCTAGCTGGCCTAATTCAAAGGAGTGGGTTGCCCCGAAAGAGATGCTATAATGAACCTAAATTCATATCATAAGGCAGCTCCAGGTTGAGGCTATTGCCAAGCATTATAAAGAGACTGAGATTCTTGTGCTAGGTTGAGTGAAATGCCATATGGGCTGCATTACTACTTAGGCAAAATGAGGGAAGTTTCACAGTGGAAATCTCGGGGTTATTTTAATTCAGTTTTTATCATTTAATTTCCTTTGTTTCTTCAATAGTTAAAGGCCCAAAGAGAAGAAATGATGATGTAGGTGTGAGTCTCCCATCATTCGAAGGTCTTTGACAGCAATCAGAGCTTGCCACGGGGAGGCACAGCCGATGCAGACCTTGATTGAAGATCTGACACCAAGAAACACCTAAAAACATGTGTATGGGAAGCAGTTCCCTAGGGATACATGCAAAAAAGGAAAAAAAATGTGCCTGCAACGTTCCTTCCTTTCGGTCCTACTTTTTTGCTCTGCATTTTGTTCGTATGTTCTGTTTTGGATTTCTCTTTTGTTCCCATAAACCCTCTTGCCAGCTCAAAGCTAAGAAGAAAGGCACTCATGTAACAAAGGCAGGGGGAAAGAGCTTTGCTTCGTTTTGGCCCATGAGAATGTTTCCATTAATGGGGGACATACCTTTCACCAACAACAAGAAGTAGTAGTAAGAAATCTCCAAACCCAAAATAACAAAAAATAGGAAATCTCCAAAAAAGCAAAAACAAACCCAAACTCCAAGAAACAGGAAACCCTAGGAGGTAAAACACAAAAATATTCATTGGGAATATTTTGAAATCTGTTAACAACAAATGACAAACTTCCTTGTAAGGAGATTTATATGGGAGGAGGCAGCAGGAACTGCTAAATGGGAGAGCCTTTTAGTTTGTGCACAGCCCTTTTGAATCTAAGAAATTGTCATTAATAAGGTGTGGTGTTTCATTTTTATGATGTTGTGTGCATTGCACACGACGAGAAAACAGTGATGATGACTGTAAACAACCGAATATTCGGAGCCCACACTACTAGATGTCTGCCAGCCTTCCACAACCTATTGGCCACCAGATGTTTAGGACTACAAATCACAACAACCCCTGCCATCATGCTAGCGATTGCTCACATGGTTCAGTGCTATAAACAACAATTGGTAGGGGCGGGGAGCATTTGCCCATTACAGATTGCGTATCTGATGCCAGTCCTAAAACATTTCCCATTTGCACAGCCTTGTCAATGTTAAATCTCAGCATTTCAATATACTGAGAAGAGGATGGAAATTCATGGGAGAAATGAACGGATGAGAGCAACCTTGGATCTTCATCACCCTCAAATGAAAGTAAGCAGTTGATCTAATTTTACCACTACTCGAGGCTTCACTGTTGATTTCAGCTTTGGCTGGAAGTAAAA